TGCGCTTGATTCCCAAATACAGTGTGCTTGTGTTTGCCTGTGAAGGAGTGTGGGCCGGCTCCGTTGATGAAACGTGGTTCCCATCCACCTGCCTCCCGGTCTTATTCCTTCGGGTTTACACTGGATATGGGGTGTGTGGTTGGAGTCGTGGGTGGTGCAGCGCAAGCCATCCATGGTCCCTCTGTAGGCGCAGGCGTCTTGTGGCTTGCCACAGTGACAAGCAAATTTGAAACCTGATGCCGCCAACCACAGCTTACGGGCAAGCGTCCTGTGGCTGTCCCCTAGTAGGCCACAGTGACAGGCAAATCCGAAACCGGATGCTGCCAACAATATATATATATATATATATATATATATATATATATATATATATATATATATATATATATCCAACTTTGGTTTCTCCACATGACGCTTCCCAATACTCATCCTCCCATATAATAGTTGTTTCGGTATCCGCGTTGAATCCATACGGCTCACATAACCGAGCCAACTCAGGAGTCTCAGCAAAAGTATAGTTTACTGCATATGTTCCACTTCGATGCAACACTTCCGTGTCCGCAACTCTATCGCCCCATCTGATGCGCAGAATCCGTCGCAAACACTGTTGATGGAACCACTCGAGATGTATCGTACATCCCGCAAGTACATCGTCCACGTTTCACTGCCGTATCGAAGAACGGACAGCACCATGAATTTGTACACCATCAGCTTCGTGCCAATGCTAAGCTGATGGTAGTTCCACACTCGTTACTCTAGCTTCCCGAATGCCGCCGCTGGCTTCTAGACGCGGAGATGCAGCTCAGTATGTATCTGCTGATAAGTCGACATCACGGTGCTTTTCAATACTTCAACACCAATGTTGATTTTTGGCAATATTGAAGATTGCACCTCCGGTGAAGGCTGAAAAAGAGATAGTCACTTTTGTTTGTGTGGACAGTGTGACCGAACTTCGCAGCTGTCGAAGCCAGAACACTAGTCATGTGCTGCAACTCATCCGCGCTGTGTGAAAACAACGCACAGTCGTCAGCGAACAGCAACATACGAATAATTGTCTCACAGACCAGGGTTTTCGCACCGAAACGACGGATGTTCAGCAATCCAATACGGTGCTCCACACGAACACCGTAAGCACAAGCGGCATCAAAAGCACAGGATAGCATTGCATGAAGATATATATTAAACAGGGCAGGAGCTAAGACACAGCCTTGCTTCACACCAGAGACAACTGCAAAGTCATCCGAGATCTCTCCACTCAGCTGCACCTTCGCTCGCATACCACTGTGTAGACATTCAATTAAACTTACAAACTTACGCGGGCAACCAAATTTACCCAACACCAGCCGCAATGCCTCGTGGTTCACCGTATCAAATGTCTTGGTGAAATTAACTGAAAGTGAGTACAACGGCTGCAACCAGGACATGTGCAAAGTGAACCTCTCGCGTTCTAATCTTGATTGCAAGTCATGGGAATCGAACGCGGTGATCGGCCTACATTGCTTGGTCTGCTCACGACAGCAGTTGCCTTAGTTCGGGAGAACGATCTCATGCATGCAGAGAAGAGGCGGCAAATGCGTAAGCGGTAAACGCCGATGGGTTGTATTCCCTCGACATCGAGCGCATGGTGCTGTAGCACATGCGGTCGCGAGTGCCTGAGTCAGGCATGTCTATGAGCCATGAGCGAGACCACGCGGGACCACCACGGAAGTGAGGACAGGTCATACAGAGAAGGTAGGCGGAACCGGCGCAGCGTTTGTATGTTCGCTGCATTCGATTTACTAACCGCGTGCTTGCATGCTAAGTCTCTTATATTTAGGTAGTGGTTTTACTATATTGTCCTAATGCTTTTTCATCTAATATTAATGTATACCTGAACTTTCTTCTTTACACTTGCACACGTTGCTGAAGCTAATTGTAGTTAACTTCGGTAACATTTTCGCGTTTGTGGCATTTTTAAAATATATTTTCTGGCCTCTTGAACTTATCACGAATTTGTTCGTAACTAATTTGTTTTATATGCTATTTTTGTAAAGATTTATGTCTGTTTCTATATGCATTATTCGTTTTTGTTGATATGCTGTCGTCGTTTCAAGTGTTTGGTTGTAGCTTGATATCACCGTTGTGACTGCGCTTTATGTGCATGTTGAGAAGGTGCCTACCTGTCTATTACCCATTACCTCGTACCTACTGGCTCTAGGATGCCGCCTACCATGCATCGACCAGATCTTCACGCTGCGTCAAATTCTCGAACACGTTCACTGAAGACCAACAATAGTGTTGTTTTTGGACACCTGTTCCGCCTATTGCTTCATAGGTAGAACATCTTTTTGAAACTGTCTGCTAGGAAGCAGTGTGCCCTACAAATTCGTTAGAATCCTGAATAAGCACTTTCCACACACATTCAGCAAAGTTGCATCTTATGGAAAGCTTTCTTCTGTTTTGCTATTACCAGCGGAGTACCCGAAGATTGACCCATCTCACCATTTTTATTTTGTTTCGCCACCGATGATCTACTCCACCGCGCTCTGGAAGGAGCCGAAGGCTGGGACAGAGTTTCGTTTCTGAATTTTGCTGATGACATCGCTTTGCTGGGGTGCTACTTACAGGCCATCCACAAACCTTTTGAGCCGCTTACTGATCATGGCATCTGATTATTGTTTTAACTTTGCCCCATCCAAGTGTAAAACCCTGCTCCAACATTAGCAAGCGCCGTTGCCGACACTCACAATTGCAGGTGATTGCTTGGAGCAGTTGAATCGCTTCACTTATCTTGTGAGTTGCATCACGGCCGGTGTCGGTGTTGGGGATGAAGTGTCCTAGCGAATTGCTAAATCTCGCATGGCGTTCACTAACCTGAGGCACTTGTGGCGCCGCCGCGACATCAGTCTGAGGCTCAAAGGCAGAGTGTACAGTACCACTGTCCGTGCGGTCCTGCTGTACGGCTGCGAGACCTGGCCTGTCCGTGTAGAAGATCTGAAACGACTAGCATCTTTCGACAACTGCTGCTTGCGAACGATCGTTTGTTTGTTGTGGCAACACCACGTAAGCAATTCGGAAGTTAGAAGCCGAATACTCAAAGCGGACAATCCCAGCATCCAGGATTGTATTCACGAACACCGTTTACGTTGGATTGGTCATGTTTGGGCATGCCAACCAATCGACTTCCTCGCCGAGCATTATTTGCGATTTCTGAACATGAGTGGAGATAATGCCGGAGTGGGCAACCGTTGACCTTGAGGACGAACATCACGTATCTCGCCGCATATCTGGCTTCTTCAGGATCTGTCCGTCTTCCAGGTTGGGGACCACGTGATGGAGACACCAAATGGCTTTGAGTTTTGGAGCTTATGGCCGGTAACCGAAATCTGTGGTGTCAGTGCTCTTCAATCATTTTTCCTTCATCCCCATTTCAATTTTAAAAACAAACAAACAAAAACTCAAAACGGATATGTAAAATACAAAAGCCCTTTTCCATTGTTTTTTGAACTATCTTTTTCCACACCACTATAACCATGGTTCTTATTGCACACTTGTCTGTCTCCAAACTTGTGAATAAATGTACATATTAAGTGTAGCTTTTTTGTTAAAAAGCAAATCCGCGGAGATGGTGTGATATTAGCTTGCCGGTTGAAGACAGAGTGAAAGTCTCTGGTGCAATGTTATTTTTATTTGAGCCAGCTGAATGTCCACTAAGCCATGAGAAGATAAGAAGGTTGCGGTTTTTGAATACCGATCCATGGATCTTTTTTGTTTGCATCTGTCGAAGGAAGCCCATAACTACTGCTGAAACCCGTACCAAAATGTCTGCTTACTTTGAATTACCTACACCAGATAGGTCCAGCTGTTCGTATGCACATTGACCGTAGCTAAGGCTGAATTATTTTCCTGGTTTTCATTCGACGACCTAGCAGTAAGACATGAGGACAGCGATTGAAATGCTTGATCTTGCAACTATTTCGTGATCCTGAATACGGGCATCTACAGCGGCCAGATCATTGGTCAACTGCGCTATCCAACTTGATTCGTCCACGGAGTTAACTACCTCCTTGCCTCTGGTCTTTACTACCATGCTTTAACTATCATACGCTTATGGATGGTCTTTTCCCCTATTTTTGTCCGCTTTATGTTCATTTCACCTTAAATTTATTATTATTATTATTATTATTATTATTATTATTATAACCAGATCAGCGTTTAGCTGCCGAAACTATCACCTGTTTGCAATACAGCCTTCGGTTCAACCCTACTGTATGGTTGCGAAACCTGGCCCATCAAGTCGACGGACATAAAAAGGCTAGTCACGTTCGATCATCGCTTCCTTCGTAGTTTAGCTCATGTCTGGTTGGAACACCTCGTTAACAATGAGCGCGTGCGGCGTCATGTATTTCGTGCAGGAATAGCACCTGAACCGCTCAGCACCATTATTTCACGTGTTGCGTATGCAAGCACACCGACTCCCGCGTCGTGCGTTGTTTGCGTGCCGGGATTGCGGATAGAAGAAGAGGTGGAGTGGCGAAGCAACGACTTGGTCAAGAGAAATGAAACCCCTCACTTCTAAGTTAGCGTCGGTTGGTGTCTCCCGACCGCCTGGCTGCGGTCCCATTGGACGATGAACACGTTTGGATGGATACACTAGTTGACGTGGCAAGGAGCCTACCTCAGTGGTGTTTGTGTTGTGAGCGTCTTTGACCCTCCCCATCCCGTTTATTTTCCCCCTCAACCACCATCTACCTGTTGGCGCAAAGTATGTTACTAAGTATTCTGTCGCCTATGCTTTTTGCATCATGTAATTTTCCATACCTTGCTTGTTTAATAGTTGAAGTGTGTTTCTCACCTTCATCTAATGTGTAATGACGTTGGTGATGATGATGCCCGGGCTACGGTTGAATAACTAGCTCAACTGGGCTGCCAATCACTACGAATGTATTGTTCTTATCAACCGTATGTGTGTCGCACTATTTATATACGTGTGTTTTTACTATCACTACTCCGTCCTTTAGCTGCTGACACTATGTCACTTGCAAGTGTTGCCGATGGCCGTGTATGCAATCGGCGCCGACCTACTCCGACTTATTCGTGGGTCGTTCGAGCCCTACATTGGATCCTAGCTCGTATGGGTCTACTCCAAACGGTAATATTGTTTCTGTGGATAGCAGAGCGAGCACAACACAACCGAGAGCTCCCCATCAGTCCGTGGATGATATACACGCACGTAAGTGTCACTGCCCCATTACGGTTCTGTGGTTTTCATTGATCCATGGCGGCTAGCGCATATCTGTTCACCCATTTAGCTTCTACTATACCTTTCGAAGCAAAACACCTAGCCGTTCTAAATGGTCTGTTTAGATTTTTAAGTTACTCATTTAACTACTTTCCCTGCTGACTTATCATGCACTACACCGCGTTCATTTGGACCATCTATGAACCTACACTTGTGAATTGTGCAAATTTACTTTTTTAATTCCACTTCAGATACTTTCTACTCGGCGAATCCACTTGCTTCAGGTTTTGTTGGGAAAAGCGCACCTGAGAGTTGTACTGATGGTCTCGAGGTTCCCCGAGACTGCATTCTAGACCTAGACTCATCATCTCTTGTCCTGGCTGCACTACCGGCATTTGTGGGCGTTATCATGCCCTATCCAGGCTTACAGTTTTTTGACGCGGTCTTGATCGCGGAGTTCCAAATTGGTGCTAGCTTTTCCCGTTTTGAACGGGCCATTACCGTCAGTTTTTTCTTCTGCCGTCTTTCTCTGCTAGACTGCTTTATCTTGATTGGAAATGGTCAGAAACTGCACATGAGCTATTCACACCCTTAGGGCAGTCTTTGTGCAAATTGGTGAAAATGTACTCATATTCAATTACACCCGTAATCGAAGCACCGAATTCCATTGAGTCCGACATTCTTTACTCATATCTCCGTCGTACTAATAGTGAAGAGAATGTGGGTGCTATTGGAAATGAGCAAAAGGGCCAACACGTCAAATGACAGTTAGAATGCGCGACCGAGAGGTCGCGCATTAAAAAGCTTATGTACTAACTGAAATGGCAGAGCTCTGAACCCCATCCAGGACTACGGCACTCGCCTTTGTGCAACACTTTTGTTTTGGCTATCTTTTCCTATCTCTATCATGTCTTCGATTGACAGTCCTGACGCTTTTAAATATGGATACGATGTTGTCAAACGGTACAAGCCGAGTTAGTTAACCCTGACCGCTGATACTGAATCCTTAACTCACCGCGTTTACTGCATCAGGCAGATGCACGTTATCTGTTGTTTTAGGATGGATTCCACGAACATCCTCATCATCATTACTGCGGCACAACAGCGGAGGTGTTTTCCCACCTCTAGCTGACGTGTATAATGATGATGATGATCATCATCATTATACACGTCGGCTAGAGGCTGGAAACACCTCAGCTACGAACGGTCACACGTGAACGATTCAATTCATAAACTTCACCAGGGTTACTAATCGATGGGCGAAATCAAACGTCGGTTGATAGTGTGAGTCGGACTATGCCTCGGAAGCCGTCAGAGATTAATTCTATAGGCAGTTGTCTTACTTTATTCTAATATATCGAAGTAGGGTATTGTGATTTGCTGCTGAGATGAATGTCCGAATCGGGTGGCTGTCGGTTTCAGGTTATCACCTTGGAGGCCACTTCGGAGTCTTGGTAACATTGTCGATCGCCATTCCTGTGTTATCATCAGCAGCATCGGCCGCAGCGGCAGCAGTACATCAGCCATTTGAACTGATGCTTCGCTGTCGTACAATCACAATGACCCAAGGAACGAAGGATAAAAGAGTGAAGGTGGACTTAGCATAAACTTTAATACCCTAAACAACCATTCATTCTAAAGGCGTCTACACTTTGTCAATAACATACCGTCACATACAACTAGTTATCGTACAAAGATAAGGCGGCATCGGCGAGACAGCTTCCTTACGGATTCCATTGCCCCGCGGATAACTCAGCACCAAACGCACTTTAAACTGACACACCGACTACGAGACGACAACAGACGCGCTTCTAGTGCCGACTGCGATCAATGTCCTGTAACATCTCGAGCCAAACACTAGGCTGATCATGTAGACTCCCGGCTGGAAGCAGGACGGCCCTCACTGTGGCCCTGTAAGCACTGCTATTCAAACCGAGGAAAATGTTCTGACACCACGGAAGTCGCAAAGTTGAGAAGGCAGTTCTAGCTTTTGCAGTACGGTAACTAACTTCAGTGATTTTGCGTCCATCATTGCTGATGCAGCTACCAAGGTAAGTGAATTGATCAGCTACCTTAAGTTTCTCGCTATCAACGATCAGAGCGTCATCAAGTGGCTGGTTGTTTTGCAACTACCATTGCACTTTGAAAGGGGCGAAGCACTCCATAGAAGTTATTCAAAGTTGAGTGTGCCGCCCTAACATCGTTAACCAGCAGGAAAATATTGTCCGTATGATCAAAATCAGCTGGTTTTCAACCACGCAGCACCACAACGCTTGCATCATGGGATTCCTCAAGGGAACACTCCATGATGTTAATGTACGACAAAGCTAAACAAAAATGAGGAAAATCGACAACCCCGGCGTGCACTACTTGTTGTCGGGAAGACATCCGACGAGTCACCGTATACCCAGACGTGGCCTGCACTGTTCGAGTACAGAGCATGTAAAATGTTCACCTATTTCATGGGAGAACCTCTTCGAACAGGTATTGCTCAACCGAGTCGAACGCACCGTTGAAGTCGAGAAAAACACTCGATCTGCGTTACGTGTGATGCTCTAGAACCAGAGGCAGAGTGAATGAATGGTCTATACAGCTTCGTCCTAGGCAGAAACCTGCTTGCTTTTTCCTACCCAGTAATTCTTACTCCTCAGTGAGGCGACGATCGAAGTATTCATATCATTTCAAACAACACGTGCGATATCGAGACAGATCCTATCACCATTTCTGGTTTTGTACTACGTGTTCAACCGTCCCATTAGTCAAATACATACTTCTCCTAGTCTAAACGTGCGACTGGTTAGCAGATGTTGAACAACGAATGAACGCTACGATTACATCATCAGGCCAACACAGTCGCTTCTATAAGAAGCAATAGTACAAATTTTGCTTCGCTCGAATCACGATTGACAAGGTCCACGTTGTCGTTATCTTCTTCAATTTTAGAAAAACACCAGGCGAAAACATACCATGGCTCTAATAGTTAAACGGTACTCAGGATCACGAAATTCAGGCACCACCCGAAACATGCGATCGGTCAAATTCAGCCCGTCTTAACAACTTGTATCATTAGCAATGATATCGCACCTGCAACCCAAAGGTCTCTGGTCAAGCCCCCGAGACTGCAGTCACATACGCAGTCATCGCTGCAAAAGTCCCTCGGGATGCTACATTTAGTGTCTTCTCTGTTACAAACACTGCTAACACGAATAGAGCGAGAAACAGTAGACCATCATCACTTGGCATAAAGCCAGGCCTAACGATCACCCGCCTTGCAGTCCAACAAAAGCGGGGTCCAACAATAAATCCATGACTGTCGTGTGCACAAATATCCCCGAATCTACCACCATCACATTGCGGGTAAGTTGTCTGACGACCAAGACCAGTGACACTCAGTGTGCATTTTGGTGAACGTAAAAACCAAACCCACAAACCTAGTGGGAGTTACTCGTGGCCCGAACTGCACACAATGGCGAACTCAGAATTATTAGAGTAACACTGGAATCCGCCATTGACATAGAAGACGTTTTTCTCTCTGCAAGTGCGCTGCAACACGGGTCTTGTAGAGTGCGCATCTATCCTGAACACGCGTCATTCAAAAACACCTCAGAACGACACAGTAAGCTGGATTGTCTAAGCACAATCTTTATTGATGACGTGCCAGAGCTTCCTTCCCACGTTAGTCATGAGGCCTATAATCACGATTTGGAACTATGGTGGTTCATTCTTAAAACTCTTTCCTTGGCTAACTTTTTGGCGCGATCGCTCAAAATGCTATCTCTCTCACCAAATTATATATATTTATATATTTGCAACAGCCTACGGATAGGCTTGGAGTCATCAAAAATCATGGAACTCAAAGGAAGGTAAAGATATCGTTAAAAAGCACAACACCATACGGATGAGTCCATGGTTTCGTCAGAGGACGTGGTATTACTCGGTTGCCCAAGCCGAACTAGGGTGTTGACTTAGGGGACACCACCCCGAGCCTTTGGCCGAATGGCCTGCCCGCAACGCAGTGGAGCGCATTCAGGGAATCGCGTCCGTTGTGAGCCGGTGACTGATTGTCCAGCTCATACGCCTTTCGTGTGTTTGTTTGCCAAACAGGGGCCCAACGCTCCCCACAATTTCAGCATTAAGTTGTTGGAATACAATGCTTCGCCAGTATGAAGCAAGGGGCAGTGACTTTATTTAGGGGCGAGTTACGCCCGCCACGTCACAGTGTTGTTAAACGGACATATGTGGCTTTTTGTAGGGAGAACACTTGCCAGGCGAAAACCCACCACGTCCTGGAACACTGCCGCCGAACGATTTGCTGGAACGGGATAATCCGGAACCACCCAACTGGCTCAACGAGGAGGTTCTTCAGCAAGCCAGCCACCAAATTATAGAGGAAGCGGACCAAGAATCCTAAAATTCCTGGTTCAGTCAGAGCAGAAAGCAACGGAACTGTTGGGATATTAGCGGCGATCTCCTAAATGCCTTCCATCTGAACTTCATTTAATAGCTGCTGAAGCCTTGCGAAGACCAGACATGAGTCTACCCGCAAAAGCAAACCTACAAGTGATTACGCAGTAGCATCACTCTACCGCTCGGTCACACGATTCTGCAGTTTGTCCGGACGAGGAATGGAACCTACCGTGGCCAAATCGGGTTGCGAACGATGTGTCATCATCATCTTATCAAAAAAACGACTAACATCCGACCTGGCATCGGTCGGCACTCTATCACACTTCACTCCTTTAGCACCGTGTGGACTCTTAGAGAACGAAAATCTATCCTGACTTTATATCATTGCTCAAGACCTTTTCAATAAGCCGGCCGAACTGAAAGATAACCGAATTTCGAAGCCATGTGATATTATCGGTGTCACGGGGACATGGTTGCACACTGGAATGACAGACACTGAAGTATTGCTGCCGGGCATGTCACCCATACGAAACGACACGCTTACGACACGCTTACGAAGCGACCTACAGGGCGAGGCCGTTGAG